TCGGATTCTGGACATACTGTGAAGGTAGGGTCATGAATTTCTTGGCTGATTGAATGTAGAATGAAAGACAAAAGTCATGAATGATGCCCAGGTTTTTGGTTTGAGCCACTGGAAGGACAGAGTTGTCATTTACTGAGATGGGAAAGACTATAAGGGGGGCAGGCTTGGGGACAGAGGGAGGGAGTATCAGGAGCTCAGTTTGGACATGTTAAATTGGAGATGCCTTTTGATTACCCAAGTGGAAAGATCAAGTAGGCAGTTGGAAATGACATATATCTATATAGAAACACGTATGTCACATGTATGTATATATATACATGCACACATGCCACCTGCCACCAGGGATTGTACTGAACACTCTTATAATAGCAGTAGAAAATAGCAAGATGGCTGCAGGCCAGCTTCAACAGATACAGCTATCATTTAATGAGCATCTACTATATGTGTGGCAGTTATTGGGAGCCTCACAAATGCTATCTCATTTATTATTCACCATTGCCTTGTGAGGTAGGGATTAGAGACGTGAAGCTACCTGCCCAATGGGGTACAGCTAGTAAGGGGCAGAGCTGGGACTCAAACTCAGTTCCATCTGTTGTTGAGTTAGTGATCTTGCTGCTATCATTCTTCCTTAAGTGGTTCTCTGGGAAATCCTGAGGGGTGCTGGGGTGTAAACAGCCACCAGAAAAGAAATATCTTTCCGGGAAGTTCATTTTTACTCAAGGTTTTAAAAGTAGTTTTATAGTAAAAAAAATATATATGAATGTATTATAGAATAGGATGCAAAATTCTAATATAAATTTTTTAATGTGGGCTTGTTGCCTGAGTCGCTTTCAGTTATGTGTGGTTTTCTCTCCTCGTTGGATCAATTTATGAGTCCCTTACCATATCTTCTCTGGACAGGTTGATTTGCTGGTTTTTCTGGTTGGGTTGTGAGAGCAGATGTAGCCTAATTAATAAAGACATTCCAGAGCTGAGGTTCGTCACTTGGGGATCTGAGAAAGTCAGGGAATACATGAACTCTCTACATGGACAATTTTGTGATTACGGACATATCATTTTTCTATAGATAATATCTCTCAGCTTCTCAAAGGACCCTTGACCCACATGGCAGAGAAAGAACAGTCACATATAACTTGTAGATAACAGGATAATCATGATTTGCACATTGCCCTTTTCTTGGGCAACTTTTGAAGGCCCAGTTATACCATATCTAGAGAACAATAATGATGACCAAGCTTTATGAATGCGTTGTCTAATAAAAGGTTTGTGTGTCACTTCCTGTGAATTCTGAGAGATTAAGTTTGGCCAGTAAAGTATTGTCAATTCCATAACATTCCGATGAACACTTTGGCACCTAATATTTGAAATCATGTGGTTGGTCATAGCTGTTCTTCAATCGTGCATATTCCAGGATCAAGTGTGAATATAACAATTCAGGAAAATGAGGATGTAAGACTCATCTATTGCTTTTTAAAAATATAAAGGAATTCTAAATTAAGAAGAGCCAAAGTCCCTGAACCATTCTTCCTAAATGTATATGAGAAAATAGCACTCTGTCTATGACCTCTTATTTTTCTCATTCTAGATGCCTACAGTTCAGAGATTCCAGATTTGTGGCTTGTAGCAATGTGTTCTTGGAATCTACACTATTTGAATTTTTAAAGATTAGATGCCAATACTTAAAAATCAGGAGATTCTCTCCTCCTCACACCCCATTTGGATTTCCAGCTTCTTTTGAAAATCATAGGATCTGTCAACACAGGACGTGTTTTTCCCTTGTGGCGACAAAGAGCTTTGTTCAGGTAAACCCATCCTTACCAATCCTTATTGTCCCTCACCAGGCCCTGCCAGCCTTCTAGGCATTTGCAATCTCAACCTCTGCTATAATCAAATAATCTCCAATGTGGCAAAACTCTTGAGTGGAACAGGATTCAGATGGCACTGTGATGGAAAAAGTAGATTATGGAGAACAATTTTGAATAATTCTCTGAGCTATGCTTATAGTATTTTTTTTTCCCAAATGTTTAATCTAAATTGTGAATTGCCTGGCCAACATCTTTGTTTATAATGTGGTGGCAATGGCTCCTTCTCACATGAATTTATAGATTTGTATACTTTAAAATTCCAGTAAAGCTACATTAATTCAGGCCAACTGAGACGAAGGTGACAATACTTAGTAAAAAGATTAAGTGTGTTTCAAAATAAATGTAGTGGATTCCTTGCAAGTAACTAGGTTAACATCAATTTACCTCTAACAGTAGAGAAAGATTTTCTAGGAAACTTTAACAAATAGATAAAATTAATTTATAATTGGTAGTATTAAATATACTTAAAAGCATGTATTCTTTTAATTAACAAAACATCTGCACCTGAACACACACACTCTCCAAGCCAACTATTTCTTCATGGATAATGCAATGAATTACAAACCCCCTGAATAATTACACTTCAGATTTGGAAGCATTCAAATGATTCTGCTTTTGTATTGGTGAGTTCATTGTATTTGGCTATACCAGCCAGATACTTATCATAAGCATACAGTCCTTATACCAAACACAAAACAAAACAAAATGAAAGTGTACGGCTGAGGAAAAGGCATCTTTGCCAAAGGTGGAAAGCAAATGCATGGCCGAAACAAACTCTTCCCTCAAACTGCAAATGCCAGCACTGAAAAGGGTTGTGGTGAGATTGCAGAATGACTTTTCTAGGCATTTTAAAGAAATAGAATAGACACAGGTTCACTTATTTATTGCTGCTTAACAAACCACCACCACACTTCAAACAAGTATCATTTGTTTGCTCAAGAATCTGTAACTTGGGCAGGGCTCAGTGGCGACAACTCATCTATACTCCAAGATGTATCAATTGGAGCAGACAGACCCCAGGGCTGGAGGATTTGTTCCCAGGATAGCTCACTCACACAGTTTACAAGGTGATGCTGCATCTCAGGTAGGAGCACAGCAAGGATACTTGGTTTCTCTCTACTTGGGCTTCTCTTCAGGGCTGCTTGGGCTTCTTTCAAGCTTGGTGGCTGGGTTCTAAGGGTGAGTGTTCCAAGAGTGTTCAAGCTACAAGGTTTTTGGTCAAGACTCAGTTTGGTAAAAGTCCTCAAAGGAAAATGGACCAAAACCAGTGACTGAAGATTATGACAGTAAAGACAACTTCATCCACATCATAGAGGGGAAAACAGGCCCTTGTGTTCCCTCCACTAAGATCTCAGCAGGGTTTCTTCTTTCTGGAAAATATTTTTTAAGCCATAATTGAGGCTCTCAGTGGAAGCCAATTTCAACTTAGTAACTCTTAAATATATCTAAGCCAACAGATTCTGGATGGCCCTTCAGAAAGAGCTGTCAGAAAGACAGCAGCAAGTCCTGATATTCCCTGATGCTCTTAGGGAAACCTCAATGTCCAAAGACGTTTAGAGTCTTGCAGGAGTACTTAGTAATGAACCTTTAGGATTCTGGTTTTCATCCTTACTTTGGAGTGGTTGTAACCATCTAGCTAAGTTTCTAACCTCAGACACTAGAAGGTGGTTTCAAAACCAAGATAAAGAGAGGAAAGAACGGCTTTGGGGGCATCTCTGCTCACATGAGAACCCTCAGAGTCAGAAAGGTCCAGAGGGCGAGTAGGTGAGTGGCCAGCGTTACAGGCATGTCAGGGCAAGGAGCATCTTGTGTGGTAGTGGTCTGAATCAACAGCAATGTAGAGATGGTGGATATTATTTCAACTGCCCTCATGCAAATGATGGGAGTTGAGTGCTTTCTCTTTACATTGCATTAGGTTTAAATACTCAGCTGGAAGAGGCCAGACCTGAGGTTTTTGGTAGACTCTTCCAAGGCTAGGATAATGCCTTTTGTTAAAAGGGGAACAAATTTTAGGGACCACAGCCTGTTCACACACAACCCAGGCTCCAGAGCGCCACCCCCACCTCTTCCAGCTGGACACACAAATTTAATACACTGAGTGGTGGACTGGGCCCAGCCAGCCAGCCCCTCCTGTTCTGTGATGTTAGAACGATCTGACCTTCCCCTGGGCGGATGCTGGTTCTCCAGGGATGGATAAGTGATGGAGGACTGCAGGGGATCCTTGCCCAACTTCTCATTTCCCAACAGTGAAACTACCTGTTGGCTATGCTAGTTTGCCCCTGAAGCTGATCAGGTCACCCCTGCTGCTCAGAGCAGAGGGCCAGGGCATCATGTGGGAAGTTGGGAACTGCCTTTTTACGAGTACCTCGTAGACCCTGGCTCCCTCTTTGAAAAAGCTGACAACATTTTTTGAGTTCCTCCACTGCCTCAGTACATCCCATCAAACATTCTGTCACAGCAGAAGCCAACAACAACAACAAAAAAGTATCAAATGGGAAAACAATTAAAAGTCTGTTTGTTTCCTGTGTGCAGCATGTAACAATAAGCCACCCTCTTCTGAAGTGTCTTAGAAAGGAATGCCTGTGATGTGAAGTTTCAAAGAAAGACTTTGGCCAAAAATCAAGCTGAAAGTTATGACAATGCTCCACTAAACACCGGAAAGAATTCGCCTTTCAGCCTGAGAGGCATTTCTCATGTACTGGGGGAAAATGCCGTCTCCACCACATAACCTCGGGGACGTTTACTTTCACTTCCTCTTTTTCTTATGAGGCACGATGAATGTAGCCTGTTGTCATTTCTGATGGACTGAATTTAGCTGAGAAATGTGGGCCTTCACAACTCTGCTCCCCAAAATGATTGAGAGAAAATGAAAGTCTAGTAGGTATGTTTCTATTTTAGGGGTTTAAAGCTCTTGGGTTTACGTGTGTCCTCTCTTGTATAGAGAAGAAATTCTCTCCTAAACCCACACCCAAACTTTCTGGTAGCCAAGTATTTGAAATTAGCTGAAGTGAAGAGTCAAATCACATAAAACACTTCGTAAACAGGACTGTCAGTTAGGACAGCTTCAAACAGCTTTACAAAGCAACATTGAAACGTTCAGTTCCTTCAGTGTAAGGGGGAGGGATTGCCTCTTACCTGGGCTTCTTTCACTGTCCCATTCTGTGTGCAGTTTCCACTTTGCGAGCCGTCACTCTGTTTCCAGTGATTGTGAAGACTCCCATTGCACACAGCACCACCTCCAGAATTAGCCATTTGTGAGAAATGATGGAAGCCGGCAGGTTTTCCTCCAGTGGTTCTTGGCAAGCTTTTGTTTTGAAGTTGGTGAGGGAATGGGATAAAGCACTCTGGGCTGAGCCCTTGGAGGAATCCTACCAATCAGGCTTTTCCAGAAGAAGAGCAACAGCCTATCTTTTGGGCAGATCTTTGAAAATAAAAACAAATGGTTACTTTTATATTCTTCAACTCAGAATGTGGCCTCCATGGCAAGAAACCTGCTCCTGAAAGCATAGAGGAGATTGCCCATGCAGGCTCCTTGTGTGGACTGAGGACACCAAGAGACTGCAAAGCCCAGTGGCAAACGACGAGGAGGCGGGCCTGGAGGTGGAGGATCTTTTAAAGACACACACACATGCACAGCACACTCACATGGAGTCTTCTATGTACAGTCAGTTCCGAATTTACGTCTATATGCCACCCCCTCCCTCTTGCATCTAATTACATTTTTTTGATTGTAAACGGAGCTCAAAGTCAACATTTCTTTTTGCAGTAAAATAACATTCACAAGTGGTTGCCAGGAACTAGAGGGTGGAGAGAAAGGAAAGTTACTGTTTAATGGGCACAGAGTTTCAGTTGGAGAAGATAAAAAATATTTTGGCACTGGACGGTGGTGATGGTTGCACAACAATGTGAATTGCATAACAATGTGAATGTACTTAATGCCACTGTACTGTACACTTAAAAATAGTGAAAATGGTAAATTTTATGTAATGCATATTTTACCATAATACAAAAATGACAAAACAAAATGGTATTCAGAATTCATCTGATGTTAAAACCAGTGATAAAATGAGAGGTACTAACTCAGCTAGAATTCCAGTAAGACAGAAGTCCAGGACACATAATACTTAGTTTCTCATCATGGCTATATTACCTTTATCAAGTGACCTTGAAGGGGCCATTTTCTCTCTTTATGCCTCATTTTCTCCACCTATAAAGTGAGACAAAATATTTTTTGTGGGCCAATGTCTGGTGGAGTAGTAGGAAAACAAAAGTGTGGCCTGGGTGTGTTACTGACACAGGTGTTGAAGGCAGATGGCGACTGCAGCATCCCAGTTCTGAACACCTCTGGTTTACTCATTAACTCTTATTCTCTCGATGCACCAGAGTTCTGTCTTCTATCACCATCAATTGGCATTGTGGCGACACGGTTTGTTGGATAGTGTCAATCATTTACAGCCTATTGAGTCCTCCCAAGCCCACCCTCATGGTTCTTCTGAATTGAGAGTTCTTTAACATCAGGTGCTTAGAAAAGAAATCCATTTATTGGGTCAATGGACAAAAACAAACAAACCAAGAAAAAACAAACACAAAAGACAAAAATACCTCCTGTTGTCAGAGCCTCATTTCTTGGTTCTCAGCTTTGAGGAGAGTTTGTTTCCCCTCCAGAAAGATGTGGCTTACAGAGGAGGTGATGATAATGCTTCTCCTAATCATGATTCACGTGTGAGGGTTGCCATTTTTTCCTGTCCCACAGCAAGCTGAGGGAATAAGATAAGGTCTTGGGCCAAATGATGGGATGGAGTTAATATCAAGTGTGCCCACCCCTTTGTGTGTCAGGCTCAGAATTTTTATTGCATCTCTCTCAACCTTTGTCATCAGAGCGGAACTAGCTTTTCACTGGTTTCTCTCTTCCACGGCTATTATACTGGGAGTTGGGAGCTAAATATGTTGTTGGCTTATTTCCTTCTAGACTTAAGCAAAAGGGAGAAGAAGAGGTGGAAAGACGTGCTGATGATGATACTAGCTCAATACAAGGTTGACATGAGGGAAGCCATATTACAGAAAAGAAACCATATTGTAACTTTGAATGACCTCTGATTAACTAGCCCAGACATACTTTGTGGATTTTATGGCCCCTCCCAGCTGCTATAAGTTGATAATTTTGTTCTCTTGAGTTCCTTAGGAATGTGATGATCCCTGGACAGACAGTCTATGCTGATAGCCATCATCAATGACAACTGAAAGATCTGGGTATAGGGCGCTGCTCCAGTCGCTGATGCATATCCAGGAAAACAAGAGACTATCAGGAACTAAGACCAGCTGCCTCCTCCAGCTGGAGACCAGCGCTGTATAGAACTGGCCTGTAGTCTTTGTTCTGTAAGATGTTTTGTTCAGACATGAGTCGGCCATCTTCCCTCTTGCTAACAAGCTGCAATAAGAAGTCCCTTCTCTCCTACCACCTTGCTTCTTGACTATTGGCATGTCTTGTGGTGGGCAAACAACCCCTCTTTGGGCAGTAACAATGACTGTTGACCTGACAGCTTTAGCTTACTTAGAAAGACAAGTTGAAGACATGGTGTTATTTTGACTGAGCTCCACTGATCTGTACAAAGTCATTATTTTTTTTTTTTTTGAGGAAGACTGGCTCTGAGCTAACACATTGCCCATTTTCTTTCTGCTTGAGCAAGAATGTCCCAGAGCTAACATCTATGCCAATTTTGTATATAGGATGCCACCACAATATGGCTTGATGAGTGGTGTGGGTCCATGCCTGGGATCCAAACCTGCAAACCCCGGGCTGCCTAAGTGGAGTGCATGAACTTAGCCACTATGCAACTGGGCTGGCCCCAAAGTTATTGTGTTTTTTATGGTGAGGAAGATTAGCCCTGAGCTAACACCTGTTGCCAATTCTCCTCCTTTTGCTGAGGAAGATTGGCCCTGAGCTAACATCTGTGCCCATCTTCCTCCATTTTATATGTGGGATACCTGCCACAGCATGTCTTGATAAGTGGAGTGTAGGTCCACGCCGAGGATCCAAACCCACGAACCCTAGTCCACCAAAGCGGAGTGTGTGAACTTAACCACTACACCACTGGGCTGGCCCCTAAAGTTATTTTTTGAATAAAGATTTCGAGATAAAACTAACTAAATCCTGAACATTAGATGTTTCTATCCTTCCTCCTTTTCTTCTTTTCTTCCTTCTCCTTCCCTTTCCTTTCTTGAATTTCCCACTTTCCCTTTTCTCCTACCCTCCCTCCTCCTCTTATTCTTTATTTTCTTTTTACAAGGGGACAAAAACCACATATATAGAAAACATCTCAAAGAACAGCTGAAATCTGCTTTACCTTTTTTTCCCTAATCCAAATTGCCAGGGTTAGATAATCACACATAGACCTTCAGGAAATATCTACCACATGTTCTCACTCTTGAAATGTTTCTACTTTACTTGCCATATTGGAATATGTGAATTGCTGTGTGCACAAAGTTGACTTAACATACCAACAATTTGGCATCAGGAGCTGTAGATATGTATAATCCATGGTGGCTCATTGTTTATATCATCTCTAGTCAAAAATAAATGTGGAGATCTCTTTGAGTGAGTGGTAGCTTTGAGTGTAAGGATACCAATTGCTATAGTGTGAATGTTTGTGTAGTCCAAAGTTCATATGTTGAAATCCTAACTCCCAAGGTATTAGGAGGTGGGGCTGTTGGGAAGTGATTAAGTCATCAAGGTGGAGCCCTCATGATGGAATTAGCGCTCTTATAAAAGAGGCCCAAGAAGCTCCCTTACCCCTTCAGTGAGATTACAGTGTAATCAGTGAGATTACAGTGGAAAAACGCCCATCTAGGAAGCAGGTCCTCACCAGACACCAAATCTTCTAGTGCCTTGATCTTGGACTTCTCAGCCTCCAGAACTGTGAGAAATAAATTTCTATTCTTTAGGAGCTACCTGATTTATGGTGTTTTGTTATAGCAGCTCAAACGGACTAAGATATCCATCAACACTAAGACACAGACTCAATATTGAGTATGATTCAGTGTCTCTGAATAACTAAATGTTATTTCAGATCAACCAGTAAATGCGACAAATGTTTGAATAACTATCATGTATTAGGTTATTTGCTAAGCCCTTCAATACAATGATGAACAAGACATATGCAGTCTCCACCCTCACAAAAGTAAGAGTTAGCAGCACCTGTGCGTCCTCTACTCAAGATATCTCTTTATTGAAGATAAAAATAAACCAGTCTATTAGTGTATTAAGTGCAAAGGTCAAATTAGTTAACAATGGCCTTATGGTATTCCCTGAATAGACTTTTTTGCCCAGATGCCAGCTTCTAGGGTTAGGCAAGAAAGAGATGTTCAGAGGCTTGGTCATGTGTTCTGAAAAAGCTCTGGGAACCTCTTGGAGATGAAAAATTGGCAGAAAAGGGAAGAAAGGAGCAAAATAAGTGATTGGAATTGTACAGTGTCTAGAAATATATTCATTCTCAGTGACTCGATCTTTACTGATGTAATGGAGGGTGATGCTGATGCAAAAACTCAAGTTTCAACAAGTTAAGTGACGTTTCCAAAGCCATAAGAATATGTGGCAGAAGGAGGTCGTGAACTCTAGAATTTCTCAGTCCAGAGCAAGTCCCCTCTCCCTTACACCACGGTATCTCTCCTTCAGCTGTTGTCTTGAGAACCATCAACCACTAAGAAGAGAAAAAACAGAAGTGGTTATGATTTAGAAAATTTCATTGAATTGGCCAAATGACAAACAAAAATACTTTATTTTGCCTCTTGATCCATTAAAATCTTGTGATCTATTAAATAGATATGAAGATCTAATGACATCTCAATATCTACTGGAATTTGATAGACTGGAATTTCTCTATAGGTAAGTATTTAAATTTCCTAAAGAATTCAGTCTGGAAAAATTCTCCACGTAGAGACAATTCAGTTCCAAAGATTTTCTCATCAATAGGTTGTAAACACCATGACATAAGAAGGCCAAACACCAATGTTACAATCGTCATGTTTTGTTTTTTTCTTACAAAACATTGCCTATCAAAATAGGAATGCCATTTTAAGTTAGTAGAAATCTGTTATCAATGACTACTAACCCAAAGTCAGCAACAGCGGCGTATTTCTGCTTTTCTTCATGATATAATCCTCCAGAGGGTAGTGTTCACCCAAGTCCTTGTAGGAACAATTACCTTCAGAATGCCCCCAAGCAAAGAACAGGCAGTTTCCCCCTCCCTATGGATGTAATAACTCTTTGCTTATGAAACTGAATATCTATTTAAAAAAAACCCTGAAACTTTCAGGATTCAGACTCTCGAAATATAGAGCCAGGTACTTCTAAAGAAGTACTCCAGAGCCACTATTATCGCCCTGCTAGTCCAGATGCTGGGGGATGAGCTTCTCTAAGCCACTGTATTTAGGGGGCAGCTACCTGGTTTTGCTAACCCAAAAAACATTTTTATTTCTGTCAACATGAGTTTCTTTGTTTCCTTAGTGGTTTTTTTGTACAAAGCAATGATGATTTACTTAAGTGGGTTTTAAGTTAATATTTAGCGTATTAAATTACAAATTGAAAA